AATCGACATCACAACAAACTACTGACTGTCTGAAATAAAACTTATAATAGTCATCTTTCCAAAAGTGGCACATCTGGTTTCCATCATTGGGTAGGTAATATTTTCTTACTTTATTAAAAAAAATACTAGATGGAGTTTGTTGAAGAATGATGAGACCAAAGCACTTACAGAAAAGTTAAGGTTCCTTAGAAGTCTAAAATTCAAACTTTATTGGGTAAGTTCTAATTATGAAATTGCAGGTACTCCAAACTACATTAAATAGGAGGAAATATAAAATAATTGCTTTTACAAAAATGTCACTGAAATATCTTATTTCAGAAACGTGAAAAGAAATTGAGTAGCATCTTTAAAAAGTTTAAGAGAAATAAAATAGCATCTTAAGATAAAAAGCCAATAGAGACTAAATGTTAATAATTTCAATTCAGGAACTATTTGGAGAATTTAATTTGTATATATTAACTTGAGCCTGTTTAATAATACGCTTTTTCCCTCTTAAGACTTTCTCATCATAATGTAATAAACCCACTATTTAACCCTATTTTACATCAGAAAGAAAACTGAATCTCAAAGAGGTTAAGTAAGATGTCTTTCTGTTTTGCTAGCACTTAAATTCAGGTGTATTCTATTTGACTCTAAGCCCAAACTTCTCAGTACAGTATTGCTCATAACAAGGCTTAAATGATTCCTGTGGCTCTTCACTGTTTGTCCTAAGTCAGGTGTCTCTAGATAATTGAATACTTCATGAGATTGGTAAGAGTTAAGCTGCATGACCCACGACAAAGAAGGAAAGCTACTTCCAATTGAGCGATATATACTATAAACACAAAGGGGCACAGACTGTACAACAACTATGATTATTAGTTTTTAGAAGCAACAAACATAAGTTTCTGAATCCTGCCGTGACCAATTTAGTGTTTGAAAACGGCCAGAAAAGGGGAGGGTACCCTACACCTAGCTGAATTCGCTGAATCGGCTCAAGCCGCGAACTTCCTTCCGAAATCTGGTGGACAGGACGGTAGAGAAAATGAAAGCGCCTCACACTCGCCAAAGCAAACTATAAAAACGCTTGTGGAAAAACCCACCGGTTCGTACATCTGGAAAGATGGAGGGCCAAAGGGGAATCAGACAGGGCTGGAGGATGCAAGTGAAGGACGGGGTCTAACAGGACCGGCTATGCTCACCGTGCCTTCTCCCGAAGTCGCCCGAAGCTTACCTCCTTGACAGGTGGGAATTTCTTCTTGCATTCCAGGGACAGGGCCCGCAAGTCGCTCTGCATATTCTCCAGCAGCTTCTTAACCGCCTCGGGGCTGTTGGTGCCAGACATGATCCACCAAGCTCCGTGCCAATTTCTGAGCGGCACAAACGAACTCCGGCACCTGTCAGCTCCGTGGGGCGACAGGCAGCTCCTTCCAGGAGCCTCCGGCCCTTGGGCTGTCCGCCTCTAGGGCTCCGCGGGGGCTCGGCCCAGCCTGGGCAGCGAGCCCGAGCGCCCCCGACAGCCTCCTCGCAACTCCCCCGGCTCTTATCCGAGGGGCCCCCGCAGTCGCGCCACCCCGCTAGCCTCCGCCGGCTCTGGCAGAGGAGCCCACAAGGTGGGCAAGTCCCTCCCGCTGACGCAGGCTGGGCCACACCAGTTGTCACCAGCCAAACTGGTGAGAAGCTTCAGCGCTGTCTCCCCAGACCTCCCAGACTCCCCGACGCCATTAACCGAGTCGCCCACAATTCCGAGCGCGGCCGGGACACGTCAGCTGCACTTCCGGGCACCACGGCCACCGCCTCCGCCGCGGCCAACCCGGGCGGCGAGCCTCAGGCAAGGCGTGGCTAGGGGCGTGGTCACGCTCCGGGCAGGCCCGGATCAGGCCCGGGGCGCTTCCCGGGGCCCCCGCTCCCGGCCTCCGAGCCGACTTGAGGCGCAGTTTGCCTCGAGATTCGCTTCCGTTTAGGTGACAGGTGTCTGAATAGAGCCCCTGGTACTCGTTGTTGTACCTCTTTGCGTATGTTTGTGTTAAATTGTATTTCGGTGTAAACAGTTTGCTTCCTTTCGGATTAATCTTCATTTGTCTTGTCCCTCTTCATTTCTGCCTCTTCGAATCTCGGGGCTAGTGGCCCCAAATCAACGCTTACCTTATGTTAATTTTTTCCCCCTGAGGACCTAAATTGCAATTCCTCCACAGAGTTGTACAAAGCATGCTGGTGCACTTACTGCGTAGCAGTCACTTATTTTCGTAATCTGTAAAATGGAACATTAAACTGCCCTCTATTCCAAACCCTCCGCTGGTTTTCCATTTTGCCCAAAGTAAAAGCCAGAATTCCTCTTTTCACCTACCTGGCGCTCTGCGATCTGTCTCGCCTCCTTTACTGCGTGTCTGTCTCCTCGCTAAAATGAAAGTTTCAGAAGCGTTGGGTTTTTTTGTTTTGTTTTGTTTTTTTCTGTTTTGTTCCCTGCTGTATCTCCAGTGTTTAGAACAGTGCTTGGCGCAAAGTAGGTGATCGATTAATATTTGTTGAATGAATGGATACCCTACTAAAAACAGCATTTTGATGCTCAAATAAGGAACCCATATAAAAGCCTTCATTAGGTCTGAAGTGCCAAACACATGGGAGGCAAAGATAAACAGAAACGTCATCTGTGCTTCTACGAAGATCCAGGTCACTATACTTTTGTCCAAAACATTTTGCAGCTAATGAGTAGGAAGCAAAGAAAGGTAGAGGGAAAGCCTGAACCAGGGTAAAGGTAGGAGACGAAGAAATGAACACCTTCAGACAACTGAGCTAATGACACCTTTACAGGACGGAAGACAGGGACCTATGAGATTTTCAGTGGGCGGCAGTGTTGGTTGTAAAATAAGAAGGCCTTGCACCACAAGTAATTTGTAAACTAAGCAATTTCTTTTTCTTTTTTTTCCCCTGAGACAAAGCAAAGCAAGGGTGAATAAAGGTGGCAGATGAGGTAAAAGTAGGGAGGTCCTAGAACAGTAGCTTGGATCATTTGTGCCTATCACACAACTTCTGGGAAACTTGACAACTGTATTAAAAGATGTGAATTTAGCTAAAAAATAAAAACTTTGGCAGAATTGTCACAAAGGCAGCCACATACAATATGCAAAGGAATGGGCACAGCTGTGTTCTACTAAAGCTTTATTTCCAAAGAAAAAAGAAAAAAAAAACTTTGGCAGAATACAGGAATATGTGGCAGATGTTATTCTTGAGGTCCCAGGGAGCTTTTTAAAAATGAGCCTCTAATAACTGGCCTAGTAATCTATGACAAGTGTCTCCAACTCCCCAGGCCATGGACCGATACTGGTCCACAGCCTGTTAGGAACCTGACCGCACGGCAGGAGGTGAGCGGCCAGCGAGCAAAGCTTCATCTGCCACTCCCCATCGCTCCCCATCGCTCGCATTACCACCTGAACCATTCCCCCACCCCGTCCGTGGAAAAACTGTCTTCCACGAAACCGGTCCCTGGTGCCAAAAAGTTTGGGGACCGCTGCTCTAGGATTGAGATCCCATCTAGTGCCTTTTCCTATGTAGCCAATTTTTCTATTGAAATTTATTTGTTTTTTAAATAAATTTATTTATTTTATTTATTTATTTTTGGCTGCTATGGGTCTTCGTTGCTGTGCATGGGCTTTCTCCAGTTGTGGCGGGGGGGGGGCTACTCGTGGTTGCAGTGCACAGGCTTCTCATTGCAGTGGCTTCTCTTGTCGCGGAGCACAGGCTCTAGGCACTCGGACTTCAGTAGTTGGGGCACGTGGGCTCAGTAGTTGTGGCTTGCAGGCTCAGCAGTTGTGGTGCATGGGCTTAGTTGCTCCGTGGCATGTGGGATCTTCCCGGACCAGGGCTCGAACCCGTGTCCCCTGCATTGCAGGTGGATTCTTAACCACTGCGCCACCAGGGAAGCCCTATTTGTTTTCATTATTAGTAACGTTGGCATGATTTACTCAAAATCAATCTTCCTAGAGTCTTTTACATCTCTATTATATATAGTTGAGGGAATGCCGTTGGAATTCATTAATTAAAAGTGACACAAAATGATTTGAAACGCCAAAATTTTCTTAATGTGTAACAATTACCTATATCTAGTATTCTGTAAATTTCTTTAAAAAAAACAAAAACAAATAGTTTTCCACTTACATATGCCCAGAGAGGCTGTATTGCCCCAGGAACAATGCATGACTTTATTCCAAAACCAAGCAAGTTAGCAAAGGTAAAAACAATTTTTGGTTTCACAAGTTAAGAAATCAGATAAACTCAGGAGTTAGCATTCTGAAAACAGAATCATTTCTCTTTTAGTACCAGAAACAAATTTTTCAAATATGTATTATTGTTTTCAGGTATATCAGGAAGTACTTTTAAAATTGTAGCACACCTGTAAATGAGTGTAATGTGCCTACAGAATCTGTCTTCATTGAAAATTACACTAATAAATGCCTGATAAATCTAACCTTTTATTACCATAAGTAATGCTTTTACAGCATTATCAAATAGTAGCTAAGCCTCAGGCTCTCAAGTCAAAAAGCCCTCCATTTGAATCTCTGCCCTGTTAGTTACTATCTGGGTGACTCCAGCAAATTATTTAACATCTCAAATTTTCAGTTTCCACTTCTTTATTTAGTTTTAATTTTTAAATTTTATTTTATTTATTTTTTTATACAGAAGGTTCTTATTAGTCATCAATTTTATACACATCAGTGTATACATGTCAATCCCAATCGCCCAGTTCATCACACCACACCCCCACCCCCCCGCGGCCTTTCCTCCTTGGTGTCCATACGTTTGTTCTCTACATCTGTGTCTCAACTTCTGTGCTGCAAACCGGTTCATCTGTACCATTTTTCTAGGTTCCACATATATGCGTTAATATACGATATTTGTTTTTCTGACTTACTTCACACTGTATGACAGTCTCTAGATCCATCCACGTCTCAACAAATGACCCAATATCGTTCCTTTTTATGGCTGAGTAATATTCCATTGTATATATGTACCACATCTTCTTTATCCATTCATCTGTCGATGGGCATTTAGGTAGCTTCCATGACCTGGCTAATGTAAACAGTGCTGCAATGAACATTGGGGTGCATTCTACTTCTTTAAAAGAAGAAAATACAAGTGCCATCCTCATGAGGTAGTTCTAATATCTAAATGAGATATTGCAGGTAAAGCACGATACCTAGCACACATTAAGTGTTGAGTAAATGTTTTAAATAGAAAAAGGTAACTTTTGAGGTCATTACTCACGCTAAGTCTTTTATTAACTTCTAAATAGACTTAATTATCAACAAGTTTTAACTTTCTAGTTGAAAATTAGGAAACCCATCTTTTTCTGAGCCTTTGTTATGAATCTTTTAGAAAGTTAATCTAACAATGAGCATGTATTCATGTGTAACAAGAAAACATCTAATATCATTCTGAAACATCTATCTCAGTTTAAGGATGACATACAAATATTACTCAGTCTACCTTGCTAGTTGTTCAATCCCTGAGATTTCATCATCATTCATTTATTCTCCTCTTGGACTTTTCTCTCTTTCACCTACTCCATAAATATTAGTATTTCCCAGGATTCTGTTCCCAGCTCTCTTTTCTTAATTTATCCTCCCAAGTGATCTTATACACACCATGACTTCAATTCCTACCAATCCATTGATATTACCCTATATAACCTCCATTTTGACAAATACCTATAGAATGTCCAGATTAACAGAAATACCACAATAGGGATAACACTTGGATTTACATATCTAAGGGATACAGAAAGGAATATAGTTGTAATATCAGCCAAGATATGAAAGTGCAAGCTTCTAGACCTTCCAAATACTCAGACCTTCTGGAATATATAACATCAGATCTTCTGGAAACTTTACTTCCCCTTCAGTCCTAGCCTTATATATGTAAAGCTAAACTGGTCCTATACATAGCCTTCTGAAGAGACTGCCTCACCTAGGCAAGGTAACTCATCAATTTCAGAGTTATACAATGTACAGTGTGATAGCTAAGGTGCAGTACAGAGGATATTCAGACATGAACAAATCCTATATTCTCAGCTTCCCTAGGCTAACACAGCCTAGTCCAAGAGCATCCCTAAAGTTAGTGCTAGGGAAATAAAACAAGAAATTGTTATTCAGATATCTCTGAAATTCATGATATCAAGCCCTTATACACAAGATTATAACTCCAGAGCTCTTGTGTGAGATCCAGATATGAACATTCCACTGCCTACTGGACTTCTTTACCTGGAAGTTTCACCGGCACCTGCCACTCCTCCCCATAAAGGAGTCGGTCCTCTTCATATGTCACATTTCTCAATGAAAGGCATCACCATCCATCTGGTTGCCCAGACGAGGAAACTAGGAATCAGACTTGATTCTTCCTTCTCCCTCACTGACTACATACTACATCTAAGCTGAATCAAATTCTGTTCATTCATCCCTCTTCGTAATCCAATTCATCGATCATCCATCACCATCTCTCGCTGATTTAAAACAGATTCCAAAGTATAATCTCTACCTCTAGTCCATTTTCAACTTATTTCCACATTGGTCCCAGGATCTTCTTTCTGAAATGAAAATGTGAATCCCTTTTATAATTATTGTTTTCAGATTGAACTCCAAACTCCTTTTCATGGTGTACTAGTTAGATTATTTTTAGATGCCTCAGGCAGTAGGGGTTCAAAGAATAGTGCATGAGAAAATGAGAGAGAAAGGAGTTTCAACCATAAAGCCAGGCCCCATGGGAATATAGGAAAAGCTTGGCTTCAAAGAGCCTAGAATGTAGTTTGAAAACTAGAAAAACCTTTGGTGTCCATACTGCTTGATTGATCTTAGCAGCAGATGCATTTTGCTTCCTTCTCCCTAGAATGCTCAAGTATTACCAAGACACAGCTACTCTATGTTTCTACTAATATTTCTCCTGCCTCTTCCAACCAGTTACCTCACTCCAATTCTACACATCAGTGAGATTCTGTTTTCTTATGGCTTCTGCTTCCCCGTGTCTTTTGCTACCTCATGGTCTTTGCTGCTTTTCTTATTTCTCTGTGTCTATTTAGCTTCTGTCTCACTACCCTACCAACTACATATGTTCTCTTTATGTGTCACATTCATATTTCTAAAGAGAAAGAATCTAAGTAGTTCTGCAAATCACATATATATGGTATATTCCTATTTTGCTGTGCCTTTTGCTGGACCACCTCATAGGTCCAGAAAGATTACAGATTAACTGTTTTTGGAGCAGGGGACACGCCTGGTTCAAACAGCTGTGGTCAAGGGTGATGGATCTATGTGGTCAGGGGAAGGGTCTCATGTGGTACAGAACATGGGCATCTGTGCTGAAGAAAATGTATCAGAGATCTGTTAGTTGAATGAATTAATAAGAAATTTTATTTGCAAATGTGTTTGTAAGTGCTTTCTTATTCACTTTTTATCAATAATTAAATTTTAATTATTGTTTATAATCTAAAGCATTTGGAGATTAAAACTATGTTAAACTCATAATTAATAGCTGTTGTGAATTTAATTTTAGTTTTATTTTAGTCTCACTCTATTATTTTTCCTTTGTCATCATTAATTCTCTCTGAATTATTTTTCCTGAAATCAATTCATTTCCACAGTTTTCTTTTTCAAAGAATTTTACTTAGTCCAGAAATGGTCTTTAATGCCTCTTGGCACATACTGTCGGTGTACTTCTTAAAGAATATTCTCAAAGAATCCCTTAAGCTTTAATTTTCAGAATTAAAAATTATAACTTGCTGGCTGGTCTAAATTACATACTACCTGAAGAACACAGATGATTTCTTTACACAATAAGAAAACGATTATGAAAGACAAATTGTGAATAGAGAACCTATAACCTACTATTTCAAACATCATGTTTCTAAATGTAAACAATAAGTTGTTTATATATTACTTATGCTTACTTTCCAAAATGATTTTTTAAACATTTTATTTTCTGTCTTTATTGTAACCTCTTTACGAACATAAAATGATTCTTACATATGGCCCATCAGAATTTGGTCCCTGTTGTGTGGAATGGCAGTAACAATGAAGTAACAATGAAGGAGCAAGTTTTTTAACAAGATAGCCATCTTCACTGCAAAACTGCTCTTAGTTGGTCCTTCCCAAAATCATTGTATCAATCAGCTACCAGAGTGAAAATGGTGCAGAAGTAGCTCTGCTTTGAGAAAGAAGAGGGAACAGTCACCTCTGATAGATGTCCTCCACTCCTAGCAGTTCACTGAACGTTTTAACCAGCCGAGGGAGGAGTGGCAGTATATAGATTTGCCGGGTTGTTTCTATATTACAGAGATTGAAATGCTCCACTGCACCGTTTTCAGGGTCCAGTGGATTAGACTCTTTCATCCTGTGATGATGAATTCTCTAGAGACATTTAGTATTAACAAGAAACCATTTTAGAGATATTTCTTCTAATAGTTGTTATTTCTATAGCACCTTAAAGCCTTGTCCTTTATTCTTTCTTTCAATCTTGTTCCTGAGGCCAAGACCACACTGTCTGGTTGACCCCAGCTCCTTTCAGTCAGTTCTCTCATTGCAGGGCTCACACTGGAAACCCATATGATGGGGGCTTCGGGCCAGCTTATCCTTCATAACCTTCATTCTGAGCTGCTCTCCTGGACTTGTTTCTCAAACCTGACTCTGTCCTTTGACCCCAGCCTTCCTGGCTATATTAAGCTGGGTTCCCTGGGCACAGACCCTAAGGAGAGATTTGTGTGCAAGTAATTTATTAAGGACATGTTCTCAGAAGAAGCCAGTAGAGAGTAGGGGAAGCAGGGAAATGGAAGAGACCAATCAGGCAAAACCCCAAGGAGGGCAGCGGAACGTTAGGGAAGCCTCTAGGCAAGGGATCTGTCTCATGTACATCGGCCACATCAGCCGTTGGCCAAAGGCTCTCCCAGGTCTTTTGGCTCTCCGTGTGTAGGAGGCAAAGAAACCAGAAGCCCAAGGGCAGCTCAAGACGCAAAAGCACACTGAAAGGGGAGTGGAGAAAACAGCACAGGCTGCACAGAAATGATGAAAGCGACAGATCTGGCAGAACGCTTCACTACACTGTCTTACTGGGCCACTGTCAGTCATTCCGTCCTCTAGATCAAACCATCCCTGAGACCCTCTTACCCCAGCCTCCACTGTTGGAGCAGTGCTCTCCCACCAGGCATATGCCAGCGCAGTGGTTCTCAATTAGGGGCGACTTTTCCCCGGCTCCCATCTCCCCATCCACCCTGCCCTGGGACATCGGGCAATGTCTGGAGACATTTTAGATTGTCACAACTTGAGGAGGGGATACTAATTGCATCTGGTGGGTAGAGGCCAGAGCTGATGCCAAACATTTTACAATGCCCAGGGCAGCCCCCCCTAACAAAGAGTTATCCAGTCCAAAATGTCAGTAGTGCCAAGGTTGAGAAACCTTGCATCTAGCATCAGTTTCGGTAGTTAGATCACTGCTTTGTTCTCCAGTGTTTGAAAACCTGGCTTGTGACCTGCCTGGTACCCCGATTCTCTAGAATGATTCTCATGAATCCCCAGACTCCTTCTCAAACTGAGAGTCAGTCCCTGAGCCCCAGCCTCATGTCATGTCCACCTGCCTGCATGTCAGAATATTGCCTGCTTCTAGGTCCCTGTATCTAGGAGCTTTGTCTGACCACGTGGGTGAACAAGCAGTTCCTCTAACTGGAACTTCTTGAAGTCAGTTATCGTCCCTGAATATTAATATCATCTGTGTTTGTTAATCTGTTCTTGGATATCAAATGCCACCTCCCTGTCTAGACTTCTTCCTATGGCCTCAGTTTCATTTATTCTCCTCTGGCCGATTCTTCCCACTTCTCACCCTACTGCTCTTTCATCAAATGGGCACACACAGTTTCACACTCCCATCCTTCCTGGTTAGCCCAGCCTCACTGTAGTTAATACATCTGTGTCCAGCTGCTTAACTAGATGCCTCAAAATGCATTTTAGAGTTAGAAGATGTGTCCCACAGAGAGCTAGGAGATCGCATTGGTTTAGCTTAATATTTCCTAACTGGGAAAATCAGGGAAGAGGTGTCCATGCAAAGCAGCATCTAGGCTAGGTTTGTCTTGTAAGTCCTCCTCTAAGTCTGAAGAGAGAACAGTTCCCACTTCTAGAGCAACTGTGTGGGAATCTCTATAATAAATGCATTTACTTTTAGACCCACTAATTTTTTTTGCTTAGTTTAATATCAAATTAAAAAAAAATCCCTCTGGAAATTTTTTAAGGACTCAGCAGCAATAAATTGGCTGTGTGGTCTAACACACTGCATGATATGCATATCCTGCCCCCAAACAACAAAATAAATGAAAACAATGAAGTTAATTTATGTTTTATGATGTGAATATAAACTGACGAGAGAATTAAATCTCTCAGGTCAGTAATAATAAGTCTAACTTGCAAAAAACCATAAATGTAGTTACTATCCCATTTAATTTAACATTTGCAAAAGAATCCTGTGAATTAAGAATTACTGTTTCTATTTTACAGATGAGGAAACTCAGACTCAAAGAGATTAATTCACTTACTAAAAGTCCTCTAAATAGAAAGTTGTGAGTCAGGATTCCCAGTCAGGGTTTTTTTTGTTCGTTTTTTGTGGTTTTTTTGCCACACTCCACGGCGTGTGGGATCTTAGTTCCCCAACCAGGGATCGAACCCGCACCCCCTGCATTAGAAGGGCAGATTCTTAACCTCTGGACCACCAGGGAAGTCCCTCAACTCAGGTTTTTTGACTATAAAATTTGCGCTCCTACTTCATCTGTATTTCAGAAATGACATGTTGTCCCATGAAAATCTGGTAAAGCTTGAGGCGTTTCCCCCCTTAATCTATTTCCTGAAGATTTTGTTGATTATTCCTTTCAGATTGATTATTTGTTTAAAAAGAAAAAACTTTAGGTTTGTCATAACACTCAGTACATTTCCCTGTGGAGAATAACATACGTTCCATTTAACTATAAGCTTATTTTCCTGTCTCCCCGCTATACTACAAGTTCTTCAATGGAAGGGCCCTTGTATTATTCATTGCTATACGCCTGGCAACTGGCAAATATATACCTGGCTTCAATAAACATCCATTTTGGTTACGTGGATTCTTGTCCTCTATCAAATAGGAACAAAGATACTGAGGAAGTTATCAAGACAAGAATTCAAGCAAAGGACAACAAAATAAGGGATAGGGTATACACACTAGGCAATCTGATCCCACAGAGAGAACTGGGATAAATTTTGGAAGTGAGGGCCGCCATGTACCTGCCACTCTGCGTCTTTTCCCACATAGCTGTTTCATTCCCTCAAGAAACATCGATACTTGTTGCGTGAGTGAGTGAATGAGTGATTGACTGAATAAATGAATGCTGCTACTAGAAATTCAGGTCTCAAATTTTAAGACCTGAACTGTAAAAAATATCTGGTCATTGTGGAAACAACTGTATGTGGCATATAGTGTGTGCCAGACATAATTGTCTCAAATCTTTGAAATAAAACTTGAGTAACAACCAAGATTTCTTCTTGAGATCAGTGAAAACAATGTAGATTCTTGATGGAGGTTTGGTTACTCAGCAGGCAGTCAAAGATGACTTTCAAGACTCTGGTAATATATCTGACATTTGATAAATCTTTTCTTTTATAAATTACTGTGTTACAGGATTAGTGACTTTACATTTTTAAAATCAGTTTTACAAGAATTAAAATCACACCATAGCAGGAATACAAAAACAAACCAGTCCACTCACATTCCCACCATCTGATTAAATTTTTGGTCTTCATTTTTCTTGTTTATTTATAGTTCCTGTCTACGTTTATGCCTAATTTTTACACATTGCCTGGCAGGGTGCCAGATAGGTGAACAGAGGAACACTTTGTGTACTTTTTTTTTTTAATATTTATTTATTCATTTGCCTGCGCTGGGTCTTAGTTGTGGCACGCGGAATCTTTGTTGTGGCATGTGAACTCTTAGTTGCGGCATGTGGGCTCTAGTTCCCTGACCAGGGATCGAACCAGGGGCCCCTGCATTGGGAGCATGGAGTCTTAGCCACTGGACCACCAGGGAAGTCCCCACTTTGTGTCCTTTTGATAATAAACATTATCTGTTTGCTGAGAAAGTCACTTGTTCCCTAGACTAGGATCTGAAGTTCATGTTGTTTGGTCCTAGAGTTATTAAATCACTCTAGTTTCAGTTTTGTAGCTTTTTATTCATTTTTCTCACGTGTCTCTTTTCATTTAATTTCAGACTACAAAAAAAGGGAAGAGATGGGGTAATTCAACAGCTCTTGAATCCATAAATACAAAAGAAGAAATACAAAAAAGAAATACAAAAAAACAAAAAAAAGAAAATACAAAATACAAAAGAAGCTCTTTGTCTCAGTCTACCACCTGCACTTTCCCCTGGCAGTTCTAACTCCCTTCTCTTTCCATCTTCTCCCAGTTTTCCCATCTCCAGCCCTCAATACCCCAGGGCATGTTATCTTTTCTGCAGCCAAAAAGACAAGCAACAGGGAAAAAAAAGAAAAGGTTTTAAAAACAGGAATTTATTTATTTTTTTGTTCCCTTCCCCCAACCATCCTGTTTCCCGGTTACCTGCTCTTTGCCTGACTCTACCATTAGCCAGACTGACGTCTAGAAGCCCCATCTTCAGTCATCAGTATTACATCAGGTACAGCACTGCATTTATTTCTCAGCAGCTGATCTTTTCTTTTTTCTAACATGTTTCCATTTCAACAGTAAGTATACCCTGGTTCTTTTCAAAATACAAAGCAAGATCTTTTTAGAGTCATACAGGATTAGAGCTAGAAAGGACGTTAGAGATCATCTAACCTTCTTGTTTTACAGAGGCCGCAGATGACCCAAGCTAGTCAGTGATGATTTAATAAATATAAGATTTCTAGCACTGCGCTTGCAGCATGGCCGGTGCTCAAAAAGTATGCGCTCCATGTCCTCTTAATACAAAACCTAGAATAGTCAGCGAATGTATTTTCCTCACTACTTTTATGCACTGAATAGTATATATTTTCATTGTAAGGCATTTAGGGGCCACTGGCTTTATTTTTTAAAAATTCTTGGTGATGCCAGATGTCAGTCAAAATGGTAGAGTAGGTAGCCTGAAGGACCTGTCCTTTCATAGAAACACCAAAAAAATGAACGAAAACTGCCAGAATCAACTTTGTCAGAACTCTGGAATGTGGTCAAAGATTTATAGCAACCAAGAGAACACTGAATCAAGAAAAAAGTGTCTAAAGTGTTTTAACTTAGCCTTGCCCCACCCCCTCCCCACAGAGCAGCGGGTCTTCTGGCCGGCGGCTCACGTTCCTGGTGTGGATACCTGGTTCTGGAGGGAAGGAGTGGGGGCCTTGTTCCCAGGGAATTGTGTTTGTCTGCTGTCATCTGTCTGCGGGTTCTCTGAAGGACTGACACAACACACTGCCTTTTGTTCGCCTGACTCAGAGCTCTCTCAGGGCAAAAGCGCAGCTAAAGGAAGGTAGTTTTTGAAAACATGGAAAGGCAAATGAACAAACTTAGGAATCTCTCTCTTGAACATATAACTATAGTCTAAATATCTATAATCTATTTATATACACATATATGCAAACTTGCTGCAGCTTCTACCTCAGCACTTGTGGCTTCACCTGGCACTTTTATGTTATGGAGATTGCTTCTTTTCTTTAACCTCAAAAACCAACCTCTGCTAGCTTCAAACTATTCTTCTACAGCTTCCTTGCCTCTCTCAGCCTACATAGAATTGAAGAGAATTAGGATATTGTTCAGGATTAGGCTTAAGGAAATGTTGGGGCCGGTTTGATATTCTGTTCAGATCACTACAACTTTCTCCATATCAGTAATTAGGGTGTTTTGCTTTCTTATCAGTCCTGTGTTCACTAGAGTAACACTTTTAATTTCCTTCAAGACCTTTTCCTTTGCATTCACAACTTGGCTAATTGGCACAAGAGGCCTAGTTTTGACCCATCTCATCTTTCAACATGCTTTCCTCACTAAGCTTAATCATTTCTAGCTTTTGATTTAAAGTGAGAGATGGGCAACTCTTACCTGAACACTTGCAGGCCATTGTAGGGTTATTAATTGGCCCAATTTCAATATTGTTGTGCTTCAGGGAATAGGGAGGCCTGAGGAGAGGGAGAGAGACGGGGGAATGGTTAATTGGTGGAGCAGTCAGAACACACACAACATTTACCGATTAAGCTCACTGTCTTAAATGGGCGCAGTTTCTGGTGCCCCAAAACAATTATAATAGTAACATCAGAAGTCACTGATCATAGATCACCACAACAAATATAATGATAATGAAAAAGTCTGAAATATTTCAAGAATTACCAAAATGTGACACAGAAACATGTAGTGAGCAAATGCTATTGGAAAAATGTCGCCTATAGACTCGCTCAACGCAGCGTTGCCACAAAACCTTGTTTGTAAAAAAAAAAAAACCCAGCAATACCTGCCAAGCACAACAAAACATGGTATGCCTGCCTGTATTTGAAATAATTTTAGCTCTACAGAAAAATTGTAAAGATAATTTCAGAATATGCTCCCATGCAGTGGTGCCAGGGGCCAAGGGCAAGAGGAGAGAATTGTCTAAAAAAGGACATGGGGAAAGTTTCTGGGGTGAGATGTTACATTATGATTGTGGTGATGGTTATGGAACTGTATACATTGGTCAAGGGAAATTGAATTGAACGCCTAAAATTTGTTAATTTTATATGTAAATTATATTTCAATAAAATTAATTTTAAAATATTTAAAGGTGGCCAAAAAATACAAGATTTTATGTTTGTAGTTAATTTAATTTTGGCCACACTACATGGTTTGTAAGATCTCAGTTTGCAGACCAGGGATTGAACCTGGGCCCCAGCAGTGAAAGAGCCAAGTCCTCACCACTAGACCATCAGGGAATTCCCTGTATTTACTGAATTAATTCCTGCTAAGTATATTGTTTTCATAATTATGATATTATTTAGTTTTTATGCTCACCTTGTTAAGTAAAAAGAAACTGTATAGTGAAAAATAATTTATGAGAAAAATAGAAAATCAAGTGGAGAAATCTCTCAGGAAGTGAAACAAAAAGGACAACATAGTACAAAAAAAGATGCATATTCATCACATGGATGAAACTTGAGGGCGTTATGCTAAATGAAATAAGCCAGTCACAAACAGACAAATACTGTGTGATTCCACTTATGACATATCTAAACTAGTCAAATTTACAGAAAGAGAAGATCCCAATAGTGGTTGTCAGAGGCTGGAGGGAGGGGGAAATGCAGGGTTGTTGTTTAATTGGCATAGGCTTTCAGCTCTGCGAGATGAACAACTTCTGGAGAGCTGTTTTACAACACTGTGAATATATTTAATATTACTTAACTGTATACTTTACAATGGTTAAGGTGGTATGTTTTATCTAATGTTTATTTTTATATAACAGTTAAAAATATTTTTTTTAAATCAAGAAAACAGGAATATCCTTTACTCCAAAAATTCCGTTTGTAAAACTTTATCCTACAGACATGCTAACAAGATCCCAGAGGCATATGTGTAAATGTATATAAATGTTTATATACACATTTGTGCATAAGTATATATAAATCAACAAGGAAACAACCTAAATGTCCATCAAGAGAAGAATGGCTAATTAAATAATGACATAGACAGCAAAATATCAAACTGTGGTGAAAATGAATTAATTACAGTCATACAGACAAACATGGGTAAACCAGACATACAATTTTTTTTTTTTTTTTTTTGCGGTACGCGGGCCTCTCACTGTTGTGGCCTCTCCCGTTGTGGAGCATAGGCTCTGGACGCGCAGGCTCAGCGGCCATAGCTCACGGGCCCAGCCACTCCGCGGCATCTGGGATCGTCCCCCCGGGGCACAAACCCACATCCCCTGCATCGGCAGGCAGACTCTCAACCACTGAGCCACCCGGGAAGCCCCAGACATATAATATTGAGTAGAGGGACTTCCCTGGAGGTGCAGTGGTTAAGAATCCACCTGCCGATGCAGGGGACGCGGGTTCAATCCTTGGTCCGGGAAATCCCACATGCCGTGGAGCAACTAAGCCCGTGCCTGCAACTACTGAGCCTGTGCTCTAGAGCCCGTGAGCCACAACTACTGAAGCCCGTGCGCCTAGAGCCCATGCTCTGCAACAAGAGAAGCTACGGCAATGAGAAGCCCACGCACCGCAACAAAGAGAAGCTCCTGCTCGCCGCAACTAAAGCCCGCATGCAGCAACGAAGACCCAACACAGCAAAAAATTAATTAAATAAATAAATTAATTTTTAAAATGTGTAAAAAAAACATTGAGTAGATAAAGCAAGACATAGATGTACATATAGAGGAGGATACCATTTTCATAAAACTCAGAAGCCACAAAGCTAAACAATATATGGTATGAGAATATATACACTCAATTCAATTTTGATTCAACAAATGTGTTTTGAGTACCTACTATATTCCAAGCAGAGTTCTAGATACCAAAGATAGAGGCAGCAGTAAACACAAAAGACAAAAATCCTGCCCTCATGGTGCTTACTTTCAAGTGATGGAACAGGCAACAAACAAGATAAGTAAATTAAACATGTAACAAAGTAGAAAGTGAATCTTAAAGGAAGGGGCTAGGAAGTGGTAGGGAGATTAATTAGATAGGGTGGCCAGGGAAGGCCTCTCTGAGAAGATATATTTGAGGGAAGACTTGAACGAAGCGAGGAGTTAGCTGTGCAGAGATTTGGGGAGAGAGCCTTCCAGACAGGAGACACAGCAAATACAAAAGCCCCAAGGTCTGAGTGTGTTCAGAGAAGCAAGGTTGAGAGAGAGGGGTGGGACCAACCATGTGATATTGTAGGGTTTTTCTCTGAGATAGAGAGCTATTATGCAAAGACCTGACTTCATGCACCATCTGACTTAGGCTTAAACAGAATTACTCGAGCTGCTGTATTGAAAGTGGACTGGAAGGGGGCATGGATGGAAACAGGGAACCAAGTTAGGGGGCTACATTGGTAATGCAGGTGAGAGATGGTGGCTTGGAATAGAATGTTGCTGTGGTGGTGAATTCTGGATATGTTTTTAAAGGCAGAGCCAGCAGGATTTGCTGACAGATTGGATGGGAGGGGTAAGACTAATAAGAATTCAAGAGTGACTCCAATACTTTTGGCTTCAGGAACTGAGTGATATATATGTGGTAAGACAAATAACAACAAAAAAGGGAGAGATGACAGCAACAAACTTGAGTGCAGTGTTTTTCTCTGGAGGTTAGTAGGGGTTAAGACTAGGGAGGAGCCCACATGCAACTTCAAATATTGATAGTGGCTGAGTTCTGAGATTGGATAAAGGGTTCCATGGTGTTTATTTTCTTCTTCTTCTTTAAACTTACATAGTCATTATATAAATATTCTTTTATAAGTATCAAACACTACATACTTTTTTCTAAAAATAACAATAAAATCCCAACAGTAGATAAAAGTGAAAATATAAAAACTAATCACATGTAGGACTATTTCCTAAAATAATTAGCAATGTGCACAAGGGTTTATATACAAGGAGATTCCCTCTTCCTCATTAGAAATAAGAGTAATACATTGGGGGAAATAGAGGAATGGTTAAACTATGACACCACAGAATATTATGCAGCCATATTTTCAAAGCTATTTACATGGGCACTGCTCCCCTATTTTAAGCAATAAAGCTATGTGGTAGGATGATACTTATTGTACTATATATATATATATAAAGAAAAGAGACTGGATATTTGAATGTAATTATAGAACTACATATAGATCTAGCATACTAGTTTGAAATGAAGTGTGGCTGTGAGTTACAAAAATACACACAAAAAAGTGACTTTAACAAGATTGAAGTTTACTTTGCCCTCATGTAAACAGAATTTCAGCTTGGGATGGTTGTTCCAGGGTAATCAGAGACACAGGCTCCTTGCATGTGATTGTTCTGTAACCTTCAGCACGGGGCTTCTTGCAGTCTAAGCTGGCTACTCCAGCTCTAATCATTATGTTTGCATTCTAACTACAGGAAAGGAAGAGAAGGAGATGGAAGGGTATGTCCCTGCTTCACGAAAATCTGCTAGAACTTTTCATCATTGCACTTGTAGCCCATTGGCTAGAACTTAATTTGTATGGCCACACCAGGCTGCAAGTTGAGGTCATATGCTGAGCTAAAAGCTTGAGATCTTACTATATAGAAAGAAAAGGAGAACAAATCCTGGGAGACAACTCTTAGTCTCTGTCACATCCAGTGTGATTCCACTTTTCTTAAAGACAGAGACAGCCAGACCAGAAAGTTGTAGGGCAAAATATGAGTGCTGGTTATCACTGGTTGGTAGAATGTTGGACAATTTTTCCTTTCAATCTTGTATTTTTCAAATTTTTAATATATAACATGTACTATTGTTAAATATTAAAAATAAAATACTTAGAATTAAGAAGAAACTATATAACAAAAACAAGGAAATTGAAGAGTATTCTTCTCTGTACCAAATCTGTTTGTTTTAAGGAATGTTTAGAAAGCACCAATAAAGACTATAGAAAGCACCTTGAGTGCTAGAGGATAATTTCCATGTTGAATAGAAACTCAAAACATATCTTTTGTAAAACAAGTATCAAACAAAGGGATAAAAGGTAAGTTCCTTGGAAACATTCAAGAACCCCAACTTTTTAACACAGTTGAGGTGGGTCTGACTTTTGGGAAGGCCCCTATTGTGACAGCTGTGAGTGCAGAAAGCCAAGAGATTAGAAAGCAAAGTCATACCCTTGGCTTAGCCTTTCACTGTCAACTGGACATGTCTTCCTAATGTCCACAGTCCCTGAAGAGTGTGGTTCCCTGGGCAGTCCAATATAGCCTTCACCCTGGTCTTTGCAAACTTCTTCAGTAAAAACTCAGGGAATTTAAATGAGAAGCCCAAGATTGCTGGTGAGGCCTGATGTCTTGGGAGTGTAATCCCTGTCTCCAGTTGAAATTATCTGCTGAATATAAAAAGGCAGAACATTTTGTTATTTGGACGTCTAAGGAGAGGCTAAATCCTTGTGTGAAAACAAAATCAACATTCATGATCAGTAGAAACTTATTCCAATTTGCCAAATTGGAATTGTTTTAACATGACAATACCAATAGTCATTTTTGCTATGTAACAACTATACAGCTTAAAAATTGAAAGAATTCCACAGAACAAATTAAAAGAACTTTTTTTTTTTTTTAAACTAACTTATGGTTACCAGGGGGTAAGGGGAGGAGGGATAAACTGGGATATTTGGATTGACATATACACACTATCATGTATAAAGTAGATAACTAATAAGGACCTACTGTAGAGCACAGGGAAGTCTACTCAATAGTCTGTAATGGCCTATATGGGAAAAGGATCTAAAAGAGTGGATATACGTATATGTATTATAACTGGTTCACTCTGCTGTACACCTGAAACTAACACAACATTGTAAATTAACTATACTCTAATAAAAATTTTTTTTAAAAAGCACTTTTTAAAAGTAGGTCTTAGAAACATTTGAGTAACTGCACTGATTTATACAGCTGGTCACTCCTGCCCCCTGCTGGCTAGAATTGGCTACAACCAGACTATCCCAGGTTAACTGTACTCATATAGTAAGTTCTTCCTGTACTTTGGGAAATCTCTTAATTTCCTTCAAGAGGCATACACACAGAGACAGAGGAAAAGAGGGACAGCGTCAGACAGAAAAAGAGAGACAGAAACACAAAGAAAAGATAGACACAGAATACCTTGTGTTCCTGCCTTCCCCTCCCTCTTTCTACCTTATTGCACTGCAATATCCTGCTCAAGTACTGATTTGTTTCATTATATTGTAAAAAGGGAGGGAAAATGCTTTTCTGATTCAAAATATAATCATCAGCCTAAAATAGTGCCTGGTACGCAGAAGGTGCTCAGTAGATATTTGTTGAGAGAATGAGAGGGAGCCAGAGAAAAAGTTGCAGAGGGATTGAGAGAGAGGAGGAAGAGAGACAAGACCTATTCTTTCAAGGACTCCTCCCACCTCTATTTGAGAGACAAATTTATATCAGAAATACTAACATCACAGTACATTGCAGACATAGGAAATAGGAACTCAATTAAGTTGGCACACACAGGCATTGACCTAAGCCTTTTACTATTATTCTTATATTTTCCTTATAATAATCCTATAAAATAAACACTATTATATCCACTTTAGAGATGAGAAGCCTCAGGCAGGAAGAGGTTAAGTTAAATTTCCCGAGGCTACTAAGTGGTGGAGCTGGGATTTCAACCCAGGAAGTTTGACTCCACAGTTCACACTTTTAACCAGCAGCAAGGTGCCTCTTCAAAGGATGTGAAGAAGAGGGCAGAGCAGAGATAGAGGAAAAATCTATCGTTGGGAGTATTGTACCACTCCTTCCATGTAAGTCATCTGCCTGCTGGAGAATAATTTTATCAGAGATGACATAACTATAGCAGAGAACCAACTTCATCAATCCAGTGCTTCTTACACTTGATCACTAAAGGAGAACTAATAGCAGAGGTGGATCAGAGTGGTTTAAAGGACCCGAAACAGTCTCAGGGGAGAAATTTCTTGTTAGTTTTCTATTATAGCCTAAAAATTCATTAAATCTTTCAACTTTCAACAACAGATAGTTTATCCAGACAGAAAATCAATAAGGAAATGTTGGACTTAAACTACATTTTAGGTCAGATGGACCTAACAGACATTTACAGGAAATTCCATTCAACAGCAGCAGAATCTCCTTCTCAGGCACATGTGGAACATTCTTTAAGATAGATCACATGTTAGACCACAAAACAAGTCTTAATAAGTTTAAGAAGATTGAAATCATATCAAGTATGTTTTCTGACCATGATGGTATGAAACTAGAAATTAATTATAAGTGGAAAACTGGGAAAATCACAAATATGTGGAGATTAAACAACAAGCTCCTAAAACCAATGGGTCAAAGAAGAAATCAAAGGGAAAACCAAAAAATATCTTGAGACAAATGAAAATGGAAACAACATACTAAAACTTAAGGAATGTAGCAAAAGCAGTTCTAAGAGGGAAGTTTATAGTGATAAATGCCTTCATTAAGAAAAATGAAAGATCTCAAATAAACAGCCTAACTTTATACCTCAAGGAACTAAAAAAAAGAACAAACTAAGCCCAAAGTTAGAAGGAAGGAAATAAGGATCAGAATGGAAATAAATGAAACAGAGACTAAAAGGACAACAGAAAAGATCGGTGAAACTAAGAGCTGGTTCTTTGAAAAGATAAACAAAATTGACAAACTTTAACTAGATTCACCAAGAAAAAAAGAGAGTAGCGAAATAAATAAATCAGAAATGAAAGAGACCTTACAAGTGATAGCACAGAAATACTAAAGATTGTAAGAAACTACTATGAACAATTATATGCCAACAAATTAAAAACCTTGAAGAAATGGATAAATTCCTAGAAACATACATTCTACCAAGCTTGAATCATGAAGAAACAAACAATCTGAACAGACTGATTACTAGTGAGGAGATTGAATTAGTATATAGCATAATGACAGAAGTAAGTCCTTCCTTATCAGTAATCATTTTAAATGTAAATGGATTACTCTCCAATGAAAAGGGCAGAGATTGCCAGGATGGTATTATGTCAGATGGATAAATACACATGATCCAACTATATGCTGTCCGTGAGAGATTCACTTGAGATCCAAAGATACAAACAAGTTTCAAGTGAAAGGATGGAAAAAGATATTGCATGCAAATAGTAACCAAAAGAACCACTCCTGTTATGATAATACCAGACAAAATGGACTTAAATCAAAAAAGGCTACAAGAGACAAGGAAAGACATCATGCATTGATAAAAGTTTAATACAGCAAGAAGTTATAACAATTTTAAATATTTACACACTTTATGAGAGACCATCAAAATATGTGAAGTGTATTGTTCTGTAACAGGTCTCTAGGAAATTTTTCATTTTGGAAAACAGAAATTCCATATACACTGAGCAACAACTCATTGATTTTTTAAATAACCTTGCATTTCTGGGATAAACCCTACTTGGTTATGATGTACAATTATTTTTGTAAATTACTGGAGTCCTATGCTAACTTTGTGTGTGTGTGTGTGTATTTCTGCATTTATGTTTATTGGGTTTGACAGGTTTTAGTATCAAGTGGCCTTATAAAATGAATTGGAGGGTGTTCCCTTTATTTTCTGGAAGAGTTTGTGTAAGATTAGTGTTATTTCTTCCTTAAGTGTGTGATAGATAGAATTCAAAAGTGAAACTTCAAGCCTTTTGTTTGTTTGTTTTTCTGGTCAGTTAAAAATTTTTTTATAGTTAGGTATAATTTATATACAGTAAAAGTAACTATTTGTGTGTATACAACTATGAATTCTATGAACCTATTAATTAAATTAGTTTTCATTTCTCTCAAGTAAATACTTGGAAATGGGATTGTTGGGTTGTATGGTTAACTTTATAAGAAACTGTCAGACTGTTTTCCAAAATGGCTACACCATTTTTTCTGCTCTGTTCAATTTATTCTTTTTTAAAAATTTTTTATTGAAGTATAGTTGATTTACAATGTTGTGCTGGTTTCTTCTGTACTGACTCAGTTATACATATATATTCTTTTTCATAGTCTTTTCCATTATGGTTTGTCAAGGATATTGAATACAGTTCCCTGTGCTATACAGTAGAACCGTGTTGTTTATCCATCCTATATGTAATAGTTTGCCTCTACTAATCCCAAACTTCCAATCCTTCCCTCCCCCTTGGCAACCACAAGTCTGTTCTCTATGTCTGTGAGTCTGTTTCTGTTTTGTAGATATGTTCATTTGTGTCATATTTTAGATTCCACATATAAGTGATATCATATGGTGTGTTTCTCTTTCTGACTTACTTTTTAGTATGATAATCTTTAGGTCCATCCATGTTGCTGAAAATGGCATTATTTCATTCTTTTTGATGACTGAGTAATATTCCACTGTATATATGTACCATATCTTCTTTATCCATTTATCTGTTGATGGACATTTAGGTTGATTCCATGTCTTGGCTATGGTAAATAGTGCTGCTATGAACATAGGGGTGCATGGATCTTTTCAAATTATAGTTTTGTCTGGCTATGTGCCCAGGAGTGGGATTGCTGGATCATATAGCAACTCTATTTTTAGTTTTTTGAGGAAACTCCATACTGTTTTCCATAGTGGCTGTACGAATTTCATTCCCATCAACAGTATAAGAGGGTTCCTTTGTCTCCACTCCCTCTCCAGCATTTGTTATTTGTAGACTTTTTAGTGATGGCCATTCTGACTGGTGTGAGGTGATACCTCATTGTAGTTTTGACTTGCATTTCTCTAATAATTAGCAATGTTTAGCATCTTTTCATGTGCCTATTGACCATCTGTATATCTTCTTTGGAGAAATGTCTATTTAGGTCTTCTGCCCATTTTTCGATTGGATTGTTTTTTTGTTGTTGAGTTGTATGAGCTGTTACTATATTTTGGAAATTAAGCCCTTGTTGCTTGCATTGTTTGCCAATATTTTCTCCCATTCTGTAGATTGTCTTTTCATTCTGTTTATGGTTTCCTTTGCTGTGCAAAAGCTTGTAAGTTTGATTAGGTCCCATTTGTTGATTTTTGTTTTTATTTCTATTGCCATGGGAGACTGACCTAAGAAAACATTGGTACAATTTATGTCAGAGAATGTTTTGCCTGTGATCTCTTCTAGGAGTTTTATGGTGTCATATATTATGTTTAAGTCTTTAAGCCATTTTGAGTTTATTTTTGTGCATGGTGTAAAGATGTGTTCTAACTTCATTTATTTACATGCAGCTGTCCAACTTTCCCAGCACCACTTGCTGAGGAGACCTTTTCCCATTTTATATTCTTGCCTCTTTTGTCAAAGATTAATTGACCGTAGGCATGTGGGTTTTTTCTGGGCTCTTTATTCTGTTCCATTGATCTGTATGTCTGTTTTTGTGCCAGTACCACACTGTTTTGATTACTGTATAAAATGGCTATACCATTTTGCATTCCCACTAGTAGTGGTGTGTTCCACCTGCTCCACATCCTCACTAACACTTGGTATTTACTTTAGCCGTTCTAATAGGTCTATAGTGGTACCACACTGTGGTTTAATTTGCATTTCTCTAATGATTTATGTTGAGCATCTTTTCATCTGTTTATAGGCCATCAATATATCTTCTTTAGTGGAATAGCTATTCAAATATCTTGCCCTTTTTTTAAAAAATTGAGTTGTTTCCTTCCTTACTGTTGAGTTTTGAGAGTTCTTTTTTATATTTTGGGTACAAGTTTTTTTTGTTTACCAGATATATCAGTTGCAAAGATTTTCCTCCCAGTCTGTGGACTGCCTTTTCATTCTTTAACAGTGTCTTCTGCAGAACAGAAGTTTTGCAATTTTTGTAGTCTAATTTATCAAATTTTTTCATTTCATATTATGCATTAGCTGTCATAACTGTGATATCTTTGCCTGACCCATAGTCAAAAAGATTTTCTCTTCATTTTTCCCCAAAGTTTATAGTTTTAGATTTTTACCTTTTGATCTGTGATCCATTTTGAGTTAATTTTAGCATAAGGTGTAAGTTATGGGTTGGGGTTTGCTATTTTGCATAGGAATGTTCCATTGTTCCAGCACTGTTTGTTAAAATGACTATCTGTTCTCCATTGAGTTGCTATTAAACTTATGTAAAAAATCAATTGATCAAATCAATTGATCTATTTCTGGACTCTATTGTGTTCCATTGATCTTTGTGTCTATCTTTTACCAATACTGCACTGTCTGATTATAGTATTTTTTGTGTGTTTTTTTTTGCCGTATGTGGGCCTCTCACTGTTGTGGCCTCTCCCGTTGTGGAGCACAGGCTCCGGACGCGCAGGCTCAGCGGCCATAGCTCACGGGCCCAGCCGCTCTGTGGCATGTGGGATCTTCCCGGACCGGGGCATGAACCCGTGTCCCCTGCATCAGCAGGCGGACTCTCAACCACTGTGCCACCAGGGAAGCCCTGATTATAGTTTTATAGTAAGTTTTACAATCAGGTTGTGTGAGCCCTCCAACTTTGTTCTTTTTTTCTTTTTGGCCTCGTTGGGTCTTTGTTGCTGTGTGTGGGCTTTCTCTAGTTGCGGCGAGCAGGGGCTAGTCTTCATTGCGGTGCACGGGCTTCTCATTGCAGTGGCTTCCCTTGTTGTAGAGCACAGGCTCTACGTGCACAGGCTTCAGCAGTTGCAGCATGCAGGTTCAGTAGTTGTGGCACATAGGCCCTAGAGCATGTGGGCTTCAGTAGTTGCAGCATGTAGGCTCAGTAGTTGCGGTGCGTGGGCTCAGCAGTTGTGGTGCATGGATTCTAGGATGTGCAGGCTTCAGTAGTTGTGGCACGGAGGCTCAGTAGTTGTGGCTCGTGGGCTCTAGAGCACAGGCTCCGTAGTTGTGGTGCAAGGGCTTAGCTGCTCTGTGGAATGTGGGATCTTCCTGGACCAGGGATCGAATCCGTGTCCCCTGCATTGGCAGGCAGATTCTTAACTACTGTGCCACCAGGGAAGTCCCCTCCAACTTCGCTCTTATTCAAAATTCTTAGGCTATTTCTTTTGATTTTCTATATAAATTTTATAATGATCTTGTCAATTTCTATAAAAAGTTTTGCTGGGATTTTGATTGAGATTGTGTAGATTCTATAGATCTCTTAGGATAAAATTGACAGCTTAACAATATTAACATATCCATAAATGTGATATATTCTTTTATTTAATTGGGTCACAGATCATCAGTGTTTTATAGTTTTCACCATACAGTTTCAACACATTTTTCTGAGATTTATTCTTGAATTTATACTTGATACTTTTACAAATGGTACTTTTAAAAATGATTTCCAATTTTCATTCCTTATATAGAGAAATACAACTGATGTTTTATACTGAATCTTGCAATCTTGTTAAACTATGTATAGTACTATTCTTTGATATTCTTTGGGATTTTATATGTAAACAATTATGCTCTCTATGAATACAGACAGTGTTATTTCTTCTTTTCCAATCTATGTGTCTTTTATTTCTTTTTCATGATTTATTACACTGGCTAGACCCTCCAACATGTGGGCACATTGAGAGGAGACATCCTTGATGTCAGGCAGAACACTGAACACTGGTTACCAATGTCAGGGGAGGTCTCCAACAACATGGAGGATAGCAAAGATCATTACTATGAAAATCACCAGGAATAGAAATCCAAATACTTCCACTCACTTTCACTCCACTATACTTGGTAATGGAGTTGCCAAGGAAAACATAACACAGTCAAACACTAGGTGGAACAACAGTTTTACTTACATGGAGAAGAGACAGAGAAAGATCAGCTCCAATTGTGTGCATCGGTTCCCTATGGCCAGTGGGTCCCACCAGGCAGCCAACACAGGGCAATTAGCCTGCATGCACCCCTCTTGTGCTGTAGCAGAAGGACACCTCTTCCTCCTCCATGGAGTCTGAAATAAATGAAGGCTGGAGAGTGCCTGAGAGTCATTGACGCATTGAGTATAAATACTTAAGCAGAACAAAGGAATACACATTGAGTCTGAAAAAGAAGATATTCCCATACAAGGTGATAAATCTGGCACTGACTATATGGGTTCCTTATCTCTTGGTAAAGAAGTACTCCAGGCCCAAGCCCTGTTCTTCTGAAACTAGATGGAGGGGGGTCAACAGGCAGTGCACGTTAGACTGCCTTTCCCAACATTTACCTTGTTAATCCTAGGGGGAAACCATGGAATCTTTGATCGTTAAGTATGATAATGACTGTAGACTTTTTGTAGATGTCCTTTGCAAAATTGAGGACGTTCCCTTCTGTTACTAGTGTTAAGGATTTTAAACTCACGAATGGGTGCTGAATTTTGTCAAATGCCTTTTCTGCATTTACTGAGATGGCAATATAATTTTTCTTTTCAAATTAGTTAAAATGGTGAATTATATTGATTGGTTTTTGAATGTTAGACTAGCCTTGCATTCCCAGAACAAATCCCACTTGCTCATGGTGTGTGATAATACATCTTTATATATTGTTAGATTCAATTTGCTAATATTTTATTGAGGATATTTGTGTCTAGGTTCATAAAAGATATTTGTCTGTGGTTTTCCTGTATTCTTATTTTTCTGTTTTTGGTGTCAGGATAATGCTGGCTATGTGATTTAGGATATTTTCTCTTCTATTTTTTGAAAAAGTTTGTGTGTAATTAGTATTACTTCTTCCTTAAGTGTTTGGTAGAACTCACCAGTGGAGTCATTTGGACCTGAGTTCTTTTTGGAAGAGTTTTATATACTAATTCAATTCTTCTAGTAGCTATAGGACTGTTCAGGTTATCCATTTTTCCTTCAGTTAGCCCTTTTAGTTTTTCTTTTTCAAGGAGTCTGTTCTTTTTACCTAAAGTCAAATTTATGGGTATAAAGTTGTTTGTTAATATTCTCTTATTCTTTTAATATATGTATACTCTGTAGTGATGTCATCTCTCATTTCTGAAATTGGTCATTTTGGTTTTCTCTCTATTTTTCTTCATCATTATGGTTAGAGTTTATCAACTTTATTGATCTTTTCAAAGAATTAGCCCTATGGTTTTATTTTCTCAATTGTTTTTCTGTTATTCATTTTACTAATCTCTGCTCTTATCATTATTTCTTTTCTTCTGCTTGCTTTGGGTTTAATTTGTTTTTTTTGTTTTTTTTGTTTTTTCGGACGCGGGCCTCTCACTGTTGTGGCCTCTCCCGTTGCGGAGCACAGGCTCCGGACGCGCAGGCTCAGCGGCCATGGCTCACGGGCCCAGCCGCTCCGCGGCATGTGGGATCTTCCCGGACTCGGGTGCGAACCTGTGTCCCCTGCATCGGCAGGCAGACTCCCAACCACTGCGCCACCAGGGAAGCCCCTCTTTTTTTTATAGTCTCTAGATAGAGGCTTAGATGACTTGACATTATTTTTCTTTAGTAAACATTTAATGTTCTAAATTTCCCCAAAGCACTGCTTAAGCTGCATCACACACATTTTGGTATGTTATGCTTTTTCACTTCCATTCAATTCAAAATATTTTCTAATTTCCCCTGTAACTGCCTCTTGGACCCTTAGGTTATTTAGAAGTAGGTTATAAAATTTCTAAATATTTAAGTTTTTTCCAGATTAAAAAAATTGATTTCTAGTTTTAATTCTATTATGTTTACAAAACATACTTGGTATGATTTAAATTTTTAAAATGCCCTTAAGGTTGTTTTATGGCCCAGAATATGGTCTATCCTGGCAAATGTTCCACGTATACTTGCAAAGAGTGTATTTGGGTGTTGTTAGGTGGAGTATTCCATAAAGGTTAATTAGGTCAGTTTGGTTGGTAGCACTATTCATGGCTACTATATCCCTTTTGATTTTCGGTCTACTTGCTCTACCAGTTAGGGGTGATGATATCTTTAGTTATAATTGTAGATTTGTCCACTTTGAAATTAATATAGTTACTCCAGTTTTCTTTTGATTGGTGTTAGCACAGCACATGTTTTCCTTTTCATTTCACCTGCCTTTATATATATATATATATATATATATTTTTTTTTTTTTTTTTTTTTGCGGTACGCGGGCCTCTCACTGCCGCAGCCTCTTCCGTTGCGGAGCACAGGCTCCAGACGCGCAGGCTCAGCGGCCATAGCTCACGGGCAGAGCTGCTCCGCGGCATGTGGGATCTTCCCGGACCGGGGCACGGACCCGTGTTCCCTGCATCGGCAGGCGGACTCTCAACCACTGCGCCACCAGGGAAGCCCTGTGTCTTTATATTTAATGCAAGTTTCTCATAGGCAGCATATATTTAGGACTTGAATTTATCATCTATGAGTTTATCGTTTATGGGTTGAATTGTGTGTCCCCCAGATTCACATGTTGACATCCTAACTAGTACCTCAGAATGTGACCTTATTTGGAAATAAGGTCTTTGTGGATATAATTCGTTAAGATGAGACCATGCTGGTGTAGGGTTAAGCACCTAATCCAGTATGGCTGGTGTCGTTATAAAGTGGGTTGATGGAGAAAGACACACATACAGGGAGAATGTCATGTGAATATGGAGGCAGAGATTGGGGTGATGCAGACAAGCCAAGGAACACCAAAGATTGCCAGCTAACCACTAGGAGCTAGAAGGGGAGCAGATTCTTCCTCATAGCCCTCAGAAGGTTCAACCCTGCTCACACCTTGATCTCAGACTTTTAACCTCCAAAACTAAGAAAATTTCTGTTTGAGCCACTCAGGTGGTGGTACTTTTTTAACAGCAGCCCCAGAAAACTAAAACACCATCTAATCTAACAATCTCTATCTTTTAATTGGTATGTTTAGATCATTTATATTAATGTAATTATTGATACAGTTGGTTTAAGTCTTCTACTTTGTTTACTGGCTGTCTCCTCTGTATTTTGCTCTTCTTTCTTACCTCCATTTCTATTATTTGAATACTTTCATATTCCATTTTAATTTATTGGCTTTTTGGCAATCTTTTGGGTTTCTTTTTTGTCTTTATGGTTTCTCTATAGATTAAATTACACATACCCAACCTTTCCTACTATATCCCGGTTAATATTTTACCACCTCAAGTGAAATGTAGAAGCCTTACAACCATGTAGGTTGCTTTACCCTGCCCTCTTTATGTTATAGTTGTCATATATATCTACATATATTGATATTCCTACCAGGCAGTGTTACAGTTTTGAGAGGGGATTTATTTTAATCGACTTTCAAGCTATTAAGTTAGCATGTTACCATTTCATGGATGCTGAACACACTAGAATCCTAGGTAAGGTACACTAGACTATGTACAGTAGACATGCACACTAGACTCTGAAACTTACGGTGACAGCAGAGGCAAGAGTATTTTTATGCTGATTACCTGAGCCACAAGACCCACAAGGCAATGCAGAAGGCCTGATGAAGCCTGCAAAATTAGTGGATTTTTGGGCCACAGGAAAGGAGCTTTAAGGGGTCTACCACTTCTATGGCAATCAGTAAGCAGATCAGCTTTTTATGTGATGGAAGATATTACCTCACCTTTCATACTTTCCAGCTGCAAAAACAATCCTGAGAAATGACCTGGATGAAAGAGTTGTCAGGGTCTTGCAATCCTTTACACACTTAGCAACATGTGTCAGAGTTAGAGAGACCCATTGACTATGTCCCAATCATTTTTTGCTTTCATCAGTTATGCATATTTTAAAGAATCTAATAGGAGAAAAATAGACTGTTAAATTTACTCAGATCTTTACCATTTGTGTTGCTTTTCCTTCATTTTTCAACTTCTAAGTTTCTCTTTGGTATTCCTCTTTAGCCTGAATCATTTCCTTTAAGTATTCTTCTCGAATCAATCTGCTGCTGATGAATTCTCATAATTTTCTTTCATCTCAGAATATCTTTATTTATTCTGATGGATATTTTTGCTGGACATAGAATCCTGTGTTGACCACTTGTTTCTTTGAGCACTTTAAAGATGTTCTTCCATTGTCTGGGTTTCATGGTTTCTGATGAGAAATCCAAGAGCATCCCAATCATTGTTGACCCATATGTAATGTTTCATTTTTCTCTAGTTCTGTTAAGATTTTTAAAAATCTTTTTACAAAAGTCTTCAGTAGTTTCATTAAAATGTGTCTAAGTATTATTTTCTTTATCTTGTTTGGGGTGCATCAAACTTTTTGCCTCTGTAAATGTATGTCTCATTAAATTTGTGATGTTTGGGGCATTATTTCTTCAAATAATTTTTTTGGCCCCAATCTCTTTATCCTCTCTTTCTGAAACTCCAGGGGCAAGTATGTTAGATTTTTAAAATATTGTTCCATAGACCCATGATGCTATGCTCTTTTTTTTCTCTTTCTTTCTTTTAAAAATCTTTCCCTGCTTCTGTCCTTCAGATTCTATAACTTCTGTTTATCACTCTTCACGTTCATTGAGTGATTATATCTTTAATTTTTGAGAATGTTTTAATTTGAAATAATTATAGAATAAAAAGTTTCAAAGGTAATTCAGAAAGGCACTATGCATCTTTCATCCTGTTTACCTCAATGGTTACATCTTATACAATTATAGTACAATATCAAATGACATTGACAGGAAATGACATTAATATGGTGTGTATACATAGTTCAATATCATTTAATCACATGTATAGATTTGTGTAATGACTACTGCAGTCAAGATACCAAACTATTCCATCACCACAAAAACCTCTCTGGTGCTATTGTTTTATAATTACACCCCTACCTTCACCAACCACTAATCTTTCCATTTCTGTAATTTTTTCATTTTGAGAACCATATATATATATATGGAATTATACAGTATGAGTTTTTGGAATTGGATTTTTTTTTCACACAGTACAATGCCCTTGAGATTCAGTGAAGTTGTTATATGAAGAGATAGTTTTTTTCCTTTTTACTGCTGAGTAGAATTCCATAGTCTGCATATATCAGTTTAACTATTCACCTACTGAGAGATATTTTGGTTGTTTCAACTTTGGGCTATCACAAATAGAGCTATGAACAATCATGTTCAGGTTTTAATGAAGACTTATGTATTCATTTCTCTAGAATAAATGTCAACAGTGATTTCTGGGTTGTATGATAAATGCCTTTAAAGAAAATGCAAAATTATTTACCAGAGTGGCTGTACTATTCTATATTCCCATCAGCAATGTACGAGACTGTTTTTCTGTATCTTCATCAGCATTTGGAATTGTCACCATGCTTTATTCTCTTGTGTTATCTTCTTTTAGCTTTAGAGTTTTATACTTTGCTTTTAAATCTATGATTCACTTCGAGTTAATTTTTGTACAAGGTGTGAGTTTTAGGTCTAGGCTTATTCTTTTGCTTATGGATATTTAATTACTCCACACCATTGTTGAAAAGAGTGTCCTCTCTCCATCAAAATGCTTTTGCAACTTTGTCAAATATCAGTTGGCCATACTTGTGTGATAATGCTATTTTGGAGCTCTCCCTTCTGTTCCATTGATCTATGTGTTTATTCCTCTGCCAATACCACCATCTTGATTACTACAGCTGTATGTCTTGAAATCTGTTGGTTGTCTTTGCCTGGTTAATTAGTCACTTTACTCATACTTTATATGCTAAGTAACTTTGAATTATATCCTGGAAATTGTGACTGCAATACTGTGTAGACTGTGGGTTCTCTTATAATCTTATGGAGGATGTTAATTTTTTTTAGCCAGTCTATCAACTCAGTTTAGACTCAGACCAAAAGTTCTGTCTTGCCATACAACCATCACCCAGAATTAGTCTGAGATTTGGGCCCTGGTTTAAATCATAGTTCAGATCATAAAGCATTTGCCATACTGTTTTGGGTCCGACCTGCACATGTGCTTTTCAGGGGTTAGTATGAGTCTTGAGCAATGGTCAAAATGTTAAGTGTTATGATGTTTTAGATTTGTCCTGTCCATGCACAACCCAGGGGTGAGCCTGTTACACCAGATTAGGTAATCCCCTTCCCCAAATCCAGAATTCTTGTTACACTTTCTGACCTGCAAGTTTCCCTTTTTGTGGTTCCTTTAGACAGGAAAACAAGGTTCTATTGGAGGCTATCCATCTACATGATCACACATTTCTACAACTGAGCCTGCCCTTGGGGGCAGAGCTATAAAACAGAAACTCAGAAAATTTACTCCTTTATGGATTGCTTTTCCAACTGCTGACTTCCTTCCACAATTTTCTGTTTACTTTTCAGAATGCTCAGGTAGTTGCTTATGAATATTCTCAAGAGATTTTAGTTGTAATTCAAAAAGAGATAAGCTGTAGTGGACTTCAGTGTCCCAATGGAACCAAAATCTTCCTTTTATCTCTCTGGGAAGGTTTTTAGATACAAATTCAGCATGTTTTAAGATGTAGAGCTTTTCAGAGTTTCTATGTCTCCTGTGTCAATTGTGATAAGTGGTATTTTTGTTAAGTTGTTCTCTTTAAGGAAACTGTCCATTTAATTGAATTTATTGTCAGTTGTTCATAATCTTTTATTATCATTTTAATCTTTGTAAAATCTACAGTCATGTCCTTGCTTTCATTCCTGATATTGATAATTTATTCTATCAGTGTTATGGGCTGAATTGTGTTCCCCTCAAGTTGAAGGCTTACCCCTCAGTACCTCAAAATTGACTGTATTTTGAAGAGGTAATTAAGTTAAAATGAGAGCATTAGAGAGGGCCCTAATCCAATTATGACTGGTGTCCTTATAAGACTAGAACACACAGAGAGACACCAAGGGTATACTGCATGATGACCATGTGAAGAGAAGGCAAGAAAGTGGCCATCTGCAAGCCAAGGAGAGAGGCCTCAGAGGAAACCAACTCTGCCAGCACCTTGATCTTGTACTTCCAGTCTCCAGAACCATAAGAAAATAAATTTCTGTTGTTTAAGCCACTTACTCTGTGCTATTTTGTTATGGAAGCCCTAGCAAACTAATGCAATCGGTCTTGCTAATTTACTGCAGGCATACCACATTTTATTGCACTTTGCAGATATTCCTTTTTTTACAAATTGAAGGTTTGTGATAATCATTCATTGAGCAAGTTTACTGGCACCATTTTTCCAACAGCATTTGCTCACTTCATGTCTGTGTCAACATTTTGGTAATTCTCACAATATTTCAAACTTTTTACATTATTATTGTATTCGTTATGGTGATCTGTGATCAGTGATCTTTGATGTTACTATTGCAAAAAGATTAAGACTTGCTGAAGGCTCAGATGATGGTTAACATTTTTTAGCAATATATTTTTAAATTAAGGTATACACATTGCTTTTTTTAGACATAATGCTAAATAGCACACTTAATAGACTACAGAATAGTGTAAACATAATTTTTATAAGATGTGTTAGCTTCACCCCACAAATTTTCATGCAGTTTTCTTCTCTGACCCATGTTAATTTTCTAGATATCTTGTATCTGCTGGGGATTGGTTTCAGGACACCCCCCCGCCCACACACACAGATATCAAAATCCATGGATGCTCAAGTTCCTTATTATAAAATGGTGTAGTATTTGCATACAGCCTTTGCACATCCTCCTGTATACTTTAAATCATCTCTCGATTACTTATAATACCTAATCCAATGTAAATGCTATATAAATACTTGCTGGTATGCAGCAAATTCAAGTTTTGCTTTTTGGAAATTTCTGGAAATATTTTTCAAATATTTTGGATCCTAGGCTGGCTGAATCCACCAACGTGGAACCCGCAGATACCGAGGGGGCTGACTGTATTTCTAATTTAATTATTTGGTCGTGTGAGAGCATATTCTGTAGGACATCAATCCTTTGCAATATACTGAAACTTAATTATGGACCAGCATTTTGTCTTAGAGACTATTCCATGTGCATTTGTTGTGCGTAGTGTTCTGTAAGTGTCAATCACCTTATATTAATATGGCCACACTAAATTCCCTATGCTAGGTGTATCATTTTCCATCTTTTTACTTATAACTTGTTTGGTCTTTATAAAGTGTCTCTCGGAAAAAGCATATGGTTGGATCTTTCTTTCTCCTGCCTTATTCAGAGTTTAGTCCATTACATTTAATTATTAATATGGTTGGATTTAAATCTACCATCATCCTTTGTTTACCATTTGTTCTTTGTTCCTTTTCCCTCCTTTTCTACCTTTACTTTTTTTGTGTGTGGGGGAGGGGGTGGCATGAGTATTATTTATTATTACATTTTATCTGTTTTACTGGCTTTTAGTTATGCCTCTTGTTCTTTTTCTTTTTTTGTGTGTGGTTGCTCTAGGGTTTATAGTATACTTTTTTTTTTAAGATTTTTTTGATGTGGACCATTTTTAAAGTCTTTATTGAATTTTTTACAATATTGCTTGTTTTATGTTTTGGTTTTTTGGCCACAAGGCATGTGGGATCTTAGCTCCCTGACCAGAGATTGAACCCACACCCCCTGCATTGGAAGGCGAAGGCTTAGCCACTGGACCACCAGGGAAGTCCCTATAGTACACATTCTTAATATATCATGATCTTTTGCAATCATATTATATTAATTCACATATAAAAACCTGATAACAGTATAATTTCACATAAACCACTCTCCTTTGTCTGATGTCATATATTTTATTCACACGTTACAAATCCCACAGTACATTTTCATTCATTTTGTTTTGAACAACCATTTGATTTTTATCTAAGAAAGAAAAAATTTTCTATTTATCTACATACTCTACTCACCATTTCCATAGGTTTTATTCCTTCCTGTAGATATGAAATTTCCATCTGGAAATTCTTTGAGCATTTCCGTAAACACTTCTGTATTATGGGTTACTGACGGACAAATTATTTTTTATCTGAAAATGTTTAATTTGCCTTCATTTTAGAAGGCTATTTTCTTGTGTATTAATTCTAGGTTTGACAGGTTTCCCTCCCGCTTCCCCCACCTTAGCACCTCAGAGACACCATTCCATTTTCTCCTGGCCTTTGTTGTTTCTAATGAAATGTCAGCTGTCACATTATTTGCTAGTAATGTGACTTTTTTCCCCCATGGCTGCTTTTGAGAATTAATTTTTATCTTGGATTTTTATTAATTTGACTATTTAAGGGTATGGATGTGGTCTTCTTTTCTTCTTATCCTGCTTGGGGTATGCTGGCTTAAGTTGATATTTTCAGTCAAATTTGGGAAAACTTCAGCCATCTGCTTTCAATTATTTTTTTCTACTTCATTCTTCTCCTGTTTGGTTCTCTCTCACAAGTCTTTGTGCCCCTGTTAATTTAGGGGAAAAAAAATCTCTATGCCTTATTTTGGATAATTTCTAGACTTATTTTTAAGTTGTGTTCTGCATTAATCCCATCCAATTAATAGATTTTTGATTTCAGTTATTATAGTTTTAATATTTACATTTGGTTATTTCTTATAGTTTTCATATGTATTTCCTGAAATTCCCTATTTCTTACTCATTCCATCTTTTCCTGTGGATTCTTTAATGTATTTATTATAGTCATTTTAAAGTCCTTGTTTACCAATTCTAACATCTGGGTTATCTTTGGATCTGTTTCCATTTACCGTGGGTTTACACTTCCTGTTTCTTTATATTTCTAGGAATTGTGAATGATACATGTTATTTTCTATTTTACGACATATGGAGGCAATGTACGATATCAATGCCTCATCAAGGCAACTGAAATGAACATTTTAATGAATATCCTTGGAATGTATTTCTCATTTTTTTAATGATATACTAATTTTCATTGAATTATTTGGATCCTGACCTTTTTTCTCCAAGAACTTGGTTTTACTATATTTGAAATTACATGAAGAAAACAACAACAATGTGACAGTTGTGGAAATACATCTACAAAATATTTACTATAGAATAACATCCCTGATCCTTGAAGTTAACAGTCTAGTTACAGGGAGTGTAGTCTATTACAGTTTTCCTATGGGTTTCCTATGGGCAGATTTACAGAGTCCAAGAAAATATACCTTAGGCAAAGACAGAGAAGACAAAACAGTAACCTTGACTTTAGGGGTGAATCCCAACATTACATTTTGAAAAACCAAACCAAAACTGCAGAATACGCGCAAACATCAGAGTCTGAACAGATAAGCCATGCCCTTGGAAATCCAATGTAGCTGTGGAAACAGACAACAGTAACAGAAGGATGACTAGGTAAAAATTCAAGTTTACCAGCTAAATACCAGCTAAATGTAAGGGAAGAAACAAATAGGCCTTAAAAACTTGAAGTAAATAGAAGTGTCCCAGAATCTGGAAAGAGTATGTGTGGGTCCAGTGACAGGAGAGGGAGATATAGCTAGCATCTAAGACAAGGAGCTGTCTTCTCTCTGCCCTGGTTTTAGGTTGTCTCACACTTTGAGGGCAGGCTGTTAGGACTCACTGAACTCTGAAGCTAAATTCTGTATTTGCTAATAACTGTAGTATGAAAGTGGTTTCCAGAGTTACACCAATTTCGCTAGCACCAAAGAAAACACCTGGTCTTAGCACCACTCATTTTGAGCCTCACACATATTAAAATTACACAAACAGGGCTTCCCTGGTGGCGCAGTTGTTGAGAGTCCGCCTGCCAATGCAGGCGACACGGGTTCGTGCCCCGGTTCTGGGAAGATCCCACATGCCGCGGAGCAGCTGGGCCCGTGAGCCATAGCCGCTGAGCCTGCGTGTCCGGAGCCTGTGCTCCGCAACGGGAGAGGCCACAGCACTGAGAGGCCCGCGGATAGCAAAAAAAAAATAAAAATAAAATTACACAAATACTTCTGTACTATACTACTTATTTCTAGAGTATGTATCACTTAGATGGTTTGCCATGTGTTTCAAAAAGCAGATTTTGAACAAGCTAAGTAATTTAATTTTCCTTCTGGGTCTATCATTGGGGGTTTAAAAATCTTGTTAATGGATTGTGTACAAGTAATTCCGGTTGGGCTATTTTATTTTTACACAATCACAATTGGTGTCATTATATAGTTCATCTTTTGTGTGCCGTTTTTAAGAAAAGTGGGAAGATCCAGGATGTTCCCAGTCTACCTAGTTGTTTAAAGGGAATTTTGAGGGATCTGTCCAAGAAAATACTTTCTTTAGAGCTTAAACCACCCACGAAAGAAAAAAAACACAGAAAATCTCTCCTTTCCAATCAAACTTGACTATCTTCTCTTTCCTTAACATTTGGCTCCTTTTGTTTTCAAAATTAATTTACCCTGTTGGGAAACTGAGTCTTACCCTTGGCCATCAACAAGACTCTTTTTTTGCCTCAAAAGTGAGGTTCCCCCCCCCCGCCACATTACTTCTTGTTTAATTTAATTTTTATTTCTTATCGGAGTAAAATTGAAAAATGATGTCTTTTTAAAATGGGAATTCAAGTCTGAAAACTATGGACTGTTTCACTTCCCAAATTAGTAATGTGTACACCTATCTTTGTATATTCCAACCAAATATTATATAGTATTTTTACTATTTCAATGTGCTTGAGGGTGATTTAGGTACTTCTATTTTGGGACAGCAGTAACAACTCATCCAGGCTTATTAATACTATACAAATTGTGGGCTCTCATGGGGATGGGGTCTCAAGGCAGTATTTGTTTAAAAATAGTATCATTATACATGTTGCTTGGAAGCAATCAGTAGGTAAACTCTCATTAGTATTTAATAACTCTGAGACCCTTCTCAGAAGATGCATGAAGACAAACTTGGTGGCTACATTGTTGGTCAATGCAGAGGCATAAAGGATCTAGATCTAACTTTTTTTTTTTTTTTTGCGGTACGCGGGCCTCTCACTGTTGTGGCCTCTCCCATTGCGGAGCACAGGCTCTGGACGCGCAGGCTCAGCGGCCATGGCTCACGGGCCCAGCCGCTCCGCGGCATGTGGGATCTTCCCGGACCGGGGCACGAACCCGTGTCCCCTGCATCGGCAGGCGGACTCTCAACCACTGCGCCACCAGGGAAGCCCTAGATCTAACTTTTGATAGTTGTTAATTCTCCTGGAAAACCTTGGACTCAAGAAAAATGGACAATATTAAGGGAAAGTAGACTTCAGAATGTTGTATATGTGATACTAGATAAGGAGGCTATGAGCCTAGTCACAGAATGGTTACTTTGCCATGGAAACCAGACAAAAACTGGGTTGGAAGACAGATTTCTTTGCAATAAAAATGTCTTTA